GCAGGGGGTCAGACCAGATGATCATAATGGTCCCTTCTGACCTTAAAGTCTATGAATCTATGAGTCTATGAAAAATGATTGATTGATTGACTAAATTAATAAGTCAAGTACCCAATGGTAATAAACAAATTTTCCAATAACAGTAATACACACATTAATCAGATATAATCTTTTACAGATAAATTCCAGAATAAAATTGGTAAATTTCAGTCACACTGAAAATTTTCCCCTTCTTTTCCATTCCTTTTAATTATAAATTCAAACTACATTTCTAAAGCTTTGTCCCAGTCTACCCATATATAGCATATGCAATTAGAATTGAGCAAAAATGTTCAAATTAGTAGTTTAGTCACCAAAAATGGAATTCTGGGTGGACCTGAAACTATTCAGAATTTTGGTAATGTGATGAGCTTATTAGCCTGGAAATTAGGGCCCTTACATGGGATATGGGAGACCTACATTCTGTTGCTCCCTCCAGGTCAAACCCCAAGAGGACTTTCTTGATTAATCAAAATTTCAGATTTTGTTTGCACCAGGGTCATGATCTCTAGGTGACTGGCACTGGTTCAGTCTTCTTCAGGCTCACATCTATCTGTCACCTATTCCAAGTCGCCCAACCTATAGAACAATTGTTTACAGAAGAGGGCAAAAATATCTATTTATTCAACTCTGTGTCTTTCCATTGCAGGCCAAGTGCAGAGGGGAAGAGGTAAGTTAATAATGATTTTTGAGGTCTTCTAGTCAGGCTGAGATGAAATGGAGCATCTGATGGAACTGTGTGCATGATATATTTACTGACTGACTTTCTTTCAGTTTAGTCCACTGTACCATCAATCTTCCTCCATTCTTGATAATAATAAGGGAAAACTAATGAATTTTGAAAACTGTGAAATGATGGTTAGTGGGAGATGGAGAATAAGCTAATTCCTTACTACTCAGAATCCTGAAATCATTACACATTTCCTGCAGTCTTTCTATAACTCCCTAATAATAAACATCCCTGCACAGAAATCATTTGTTTACAGAAAAGGACAAAAACTCTGCCATTATTTAAATGTGTGTCATTCCTTTTCAGACCCAGTATGGAAGGAAATAAGTAAATTTGATGTGTTTTATGTAGCTTTCCACACGAGCAGAAAGGGGTGGAGCATATGTGCTTTATATTTGTTGACCATAGCACTGCTCCATCACAAGACAATCCACAGAATAGCTGTGTTCAAATCCATCCCCGCTGTAACTGTAGCAATATCAGAGTTGGACAAGTAAGCCCCCCCTCCCTTTTTTTTGAAAACTCAATTTTTCTGAAATCTTTTTTTATAATCACAGCTAATAAACCCTAGCCCAACTCTCTCCCCCTCCAATTTTTTTTTACAAAAGATGATAATTGTGTACTTCTCCATTTCAAGCAGCACAACATGCGCATATGCAAGCTGTGAGAGCACTGCCAATTATTTCAAAGTATAAAATCAGATAAAAATTGCACTCCTTCTCTCTGATAACTTGTCAACACATTGTAGAGTCCTGAAGAATGCTCTGAAAGTTTGGCAATCCAGGCTGTCAGACCTAGGTGAGGGGATGTTTTCCAAAGCCCTACAACATTTACGTGGACTTCTTAAAAAGATCCTCAAAATAAATGTATAATAATAATAATTATCAATAATAATAATAATAACAGATAGAAAGCAAATAAACAAAATAAGTGTGAAAGTTACTAGTGACCCCCCCCCCCTTAACAAAGCAGCCTTTATGTCAACCAGTGGCCATTAGGGGGAAGCAGACACTTCAAGTACACAGTAGCTTGAACTTTTCAACTGTCTTCCCTTCAAGGCCTTAAGGTAGTTGGAGCTGGTCCCAAGCTGGTTTTCACTGACCAGATAGCAAAAGCACGGGTCTGACAACCACCAATCAAGTGTTAACACTGCAAGGACCTTTGTCTGAATGTGTATAAAGGATCTGTAAAATGTGTGTAAGACAGATTTTTGTACTAAGGTGCAAAGCTCTCCTTTCTTCTGCAGAATAAAGCAACTCTTCCTTATCCCTGTCTGGCTGTTATTGGCTCTCAGCTAGGTGGACCCAATATTTCGGTAACAGTTTCTGGCGACTCTGCCGGGACTCTCCTAGCTCGGACATTGGACTCCGGATGGTTGCAGCGAATTGAGAACGGCGCCAACGGGGTGTTTTGCCCCTTTTCTCTGCTTCACCGCAGCCCCTGGGATTCGTGCTCCGATAAAGTGAGTCCTAATAAAATAAGGAAACACTATCTGGTTCTGGTCTAGTTAACTGGTTAATGAATTTCTGTCTTATACATTTGAGCGTTAAGTGTGTGGACGGAACTGAGCCTCTCATTCGTAATTCCTCTGAGTAGAAGCCATCGCGTGCGATGAAGCTCTGGGGTCGAATTGGGATCCTTCTGTCCCGTCCCCTGTAGCGGTCAGTATTAGTAAAAATTCCTGTAATAGATCCTATTAGGCCATAATTCCCTCTGTTCTCTGTGTAATTCTCTGTTAGAGTCAGCAGGCAGATGGGTGGGTCTCTGGTAAAACCCTCTAAGGATAGCCCTTTGAATTATATGTTAAGTAAATAGTCTTTACCCAGTGTTTAAAAAGAAACAGTTACACCTTGTGTAGAAATTGATGTAGCTTGTGTTGTAAAAATTAAATTGTGGAGAGGATGTGCATTTTCCCCAGAACATGTGCAGTGTATATTGTAGCAGAAGTAAAAGAAATGCAAACCTACCAATATAGGTTGTGTTGTCTTTTTCAGATCACTGTGTGTTTAAAAGCAGGAGTTAGAAGTAAAAGGCAAGCAAAAGTCTAAAAAAGTTAATCATGTCCTTTTTTTTTAAGTAAGAATCTTTAAGCTGTGAATAGCTTTGGATCTGGAAGCAAGCCAGAAAGCATCTGTATTAATGCAATTTTCTAACTAATAAGGCAGAAGCCACTGAAACCTGGGCTGCCTATAAAATAAATACAAAGAAATATGGGGTAATTCTGTTTTGCCTAAAATCAACAAGAGTATGTGTATATAAAGGAAATATTTTAAGCAATGACTGACTGCCAAGAAGGGGTAGACCTCTGTTCTTTTGTCTTTCAGATCATCAGAGAAAACGGATGCCAGCTGAATAGCATTCAACGTACCATGCATTTACTGGCACAATAGAAATTATTTTTGTATTCTATGGCCAAAATTGTTGTTAAAATTTGCATACCAACAATCTCTGGAAGCAAGGACATGGAAGGTTAACCCATTCCCCATATTGCCCATGAGATCCTTCTGGCTACCTCAGATTTCTAGTCAGAGGGCTAAAGAAGAAAAATCTATTGGACACAAGAGGTTGTACCGAGTGGACTCCTCAAAAGTGTGTGTGCTTGTCCTGATTTGTTGCTCCAAAGCTCTATAATAAAGTTATTTTACTGGAAGTGTGTATATTGCATACATTGAGTAATAAGATTAATGTACTGTATAATGACAATGTGTATATGTTCATTGTTAAAAAAAGTATATAAATAAAAAATAAAAATTTCCTTTGTAAGTTAAAAAAGCCAAAACAAAACAAACAAACAAAAAAAAACCAGAACGAGTTAACTGGAAAAAAATAGCTAAGTTTTGGGCCTCTGTAACAGATGGCAACTAGCCACATCAAGTAAACTACATTATATCTCTTTCATTTTGCTTGTTCCCTACAAAGTGTGTGTGTGGGGGGGTGGGGAGTTGGAAAGCTTTTTGAACTCTGATTAACTCCTTTAATTTAGGGTGTCAAGATTAAGGAAACTTGTCTGATTAACTTCAAACTTTGTAGAAAAATTCTACTGGCCTTCAGATCTAACCTCCCAACTGGTAGGTCAGTAGGGTTTGTAACTGAAATGTAGGGCCATGTTCACCAGTACACTATGGCTAGAAAGCAGCCATACACCCAGTACAGTGCTAAATCTGGCCCCTGGAATCTGGCAACCTTAACTATGGAGCATTTGCCACCACTCCACAATATCATTTAAGATTATAGGCCTGAACCACCATGTTGTTACATCAATTTTGCCCTGGTGATCCAAGTAAACCATTGTAGTCACTTCAGCATAAAATTCTATAATGGAGTGGTGAATCACACCCCAGGTATTCAAAGAGTGAGATCAAAATTCACTTTTATCTGCTGTAGTTTGCTTTCGTCTCTAATGATCTTTGAACCTTGTCTTGTTGACTTATTGTTGATGTAACATGTACTTTCATTGTCCAACAGGAAAACTGTTTTCTCTCTGAAAGGGACAGATAAAAAGAGAGAGTGTGAACTAGCTCCCTTTCTCAGCTGGAAGTTAAAAGGCAGACACAGAGACTGGATTCCCTTCAAAGAGCAAACGTAAGTCTGAACATGAGCACTATTGATAATAAAAACATCTTCTGTTTGATTGTATTGTGAATGCAATGGTTTGAAGCTCTAGTTAAATTATGATTTTTCAATCATTTTTCTTCATCTCTTTGTTTAATTTCACTTTCCTCTATATAAAGTTTTGTTGATCACCCTATTTGACTAGCATCATCCCCCATCACTGATATTCCAAAACATCTCAATATTAGAGCAAAAAAAACTAATTAAAAAAGGAAATCTGTTTTTTTAGTGATACTAGTGCTACAAGTTTGCATGACATTTTACAGAAATAAGAGAAGCCAAAAGACTATTCTGAGGAGGACCAAGTTATAGCTCTACAAAGAGAATATAAACTAAACTGTTACTGATTCTCCATTACCTAATCTTTGTTCATCCAGAGTGACTAGAAAGTAAGTAGCCCATTACAATGTCATGCTCGTACCAAGGTGGAGGAATACTGTACGCTTCCCTTAGTTCTTTCCTTCAGAAAAGGTAACACAAAAACCGATGCCTTTTATTTGCCCATTTTAAAACCTCCTCAGTTGAAGGAACATGCAAGGATTTTTGCTGATATTTTTGGTGAAAATTGGTTGAAAAATAATTAATCTAATTATTTCTTTAGAAAGGATTTGTAGCAATACTATTTAGGAATGTGCTTATTTAAGTCTGCTTCAAGTATATTAATTAACACCACAAGCAATGACAGAGAAATCAGAAGTTGAGGCTATGTCATGCCCATCAGAACCAATTGCCAAATAGTAGCTCAATATAGTCATTACACTCCATCACACCAACACACAAACAAGCTCCATACACACACCATTCCATTTCAATATTATTACACATTAAAGAACTGAAAACCAAAAATTCTAACCCCGTGTATAGGAATTGTGTAGTGTCCCTTTAAATAGTTTCAAGTATCAGAGGGGTAGCCATGTTAGTCTGAATCTGTAAAAAGCAACAGGGGGTCCTGTGGCACCTTTGAGACTAACAGAAGTATTGGGAGCATAAGCTTTCGTGGGTAAGAACT